CAGAATTAACCTTGGAATATAAAGTAAAACCTGCTTTTCTTGGTTTCCTGCATTTTTCACTCATGCTATGGTCTTTATCCAATAAACCAATGAACTTCCCGCTGGCATTTTTTTTAAATTTTTATTTTGGGGTTTGTTTTGGTGTATGTATTTAAAATATCTTTAAAATAATTCTAAAATAATCAGTTTTGAGGCTGGCAGATGACTGACCTACATACACTGTAAATAAAACCTTTTTAAAAATTAGTTGCAGCCAGGCAATGGTGTCGCACACCTTTAATCCCAGCACTTGGGAGGCAGAGGCAGGCGGATTTCTGAGTTCAAGGTTAGCCTGGTCTACAGAGTTCCATGATAGCAAGGGCTACAGAGAAACCCTGTCTTGAAAAACCAAACCAAGCAAACTTCATATTCCTTGTAACCTCAGCACTTGGGAATCTGGGGCAGGGAATGAGAGCACCAGGTCTGCTTAGATTACATAGTGAAACCCTGTCTCAAAACTCCATCCTTTTTTATCAGTTTGGGAGTGCACACTGTAATACTGTGTTAGTCTGGGGAAGTCTGTAAAGAGGTCCAGTGTCAGAAACTATATTTTAACATAAAACCAATCACAGCCAATGTGTTCTGCTTACTGATGTATCCTGAATGTTAAAACTGCCTACATAACAAGTTCCCATCATTTATTTGCTCTCAAAAGAAATGGATGAGGAAAAGTAAGATGGTTTAAGGGAGGAAAGGTGTTTGCTGCCAAGTCTGTCACTGGAGTCTGATTACATGGTAGGAGAGAACTCTTAAGTTGTCTTCTGAACTCCCCTGTGTGCCATGGCATACATGTGTTGATGTAGGCAAATTTTTCTGTCCCACCGACCAGCTCCCGAATCACAACATGGACACTTATTATTAAAGCTCAGGGCTGGAGAGATGGCTCAGTGGTTAAGAGCACTGGCTGCTCTTCCAGAGGTCCTGGGTTCAATTCCCAGCAACCATATGGTGGCTCACAACCATCTGTAATGAGAAATGGCGCCCTCTTCTGGTGTGTGGGCATATATGCAGGCAGAATGGTGTATAAAATATCTTTTTTATAAAATAAATCTTTAAAAAAATTATAAAAGCTCAGCCAATAGCTTAAACTTATTTCTAACTAGCTCTTAAAACTTAAACCATTTCTTTTAATCTATGTTCTTTTATGTGGCTCAGTTATCTTTATTTTGTAATGCCCATGTGGCTTTCTCTGCGTCTGGCTGGTGACTCTGCCTTCTTCTTCCCAGGATTTTCTCTGCCCCCCAAATCCTACCTAGCTATTGGCCATTTAGCTCATTAAACCAATCAAGTGACATATTTTCAGTGTGAAGGACTATTCCACAACATGCTCACACAAACAAATATAAAAACAGATGAGGCAAACTCTCTCAAAAGCTTAGACATCAAAAAGGCAAGAGGCTGATTCAGGACAGGAATAACTCAACTGCAGCCCAACTGGCGTGGCATGTAAGAAAGGCTGTAGCAGCCTTCAGCACTAGAGTTTGCTTTGGATCTGTGGTTGGGAACGCCACTGTAAGACCCAAGAAAGCCTATGTCCAACAGCTCCACCATGTCATATGGTGGTGAGACTAGCTAGGCTAACTAGGGCCAGGTGTGAGCACTGTTTACTGAGTGAATAGGAAGGAGAGGCACACCAGCTTAGTTGGGCATGTGACGTTGCGGCCCTATGTATTATGTGCAACTTAACCAGTTCACTTCCCAGAACCTTCTCCACGCTTCCCAGAGCAGCCTTTCAATATGTGACAGTTGAAATGGGCAAGTAAGTTGTGTCATTTAAAACAGCGCCTACGGAGCCTGGTATGCTGGCTCCCACCTGAAATAACAGCATTCAGGAGGCTGAAGGTGGGAGCATGGCTGGGAAGTCAAGTAGGCTACATAGCAAGTTCCCTAACAGCTGGGGGGAAAAAAAGAACACTTTCTGAATCTGACCCTTGGAAACTCCTACAAGTTGTCCTCTGACCACCACATAGACAGAGACATGCACGCACCCATATACATGCAAATGTTAGAGATCTAAAATAAAAAGCAATGCCTACTGGCGATTACATAATGTTGTGTGTTCTGAAAGTGGGGGTGCACACCTTTAGTCCCAGCGCTGGGAAAGCAGAGGCAGGTGAAACTCTGAGTTCAAGGCTAGCCTAGTCTACAAAGTGAGTTCCAGGACAACCAGGGCTACACAGAAACCCCGTCTTAAAAAAAAAAAAAAAAGTATGTTTTGTGTACACATGGACCCATGAGGAGCTTTCTCCAATGCCCCGCTTTGTATAAACACCTGTGTTCCCCCACTCAGCTTTGATTCAGACACCTCCGTGTCCTCTTCCTGTTCTTGTGTGTTGAATAAAACTACATGCCATAAACTATATGCCCCAAGTTACTCATTTTGTTTTGAATGAAGATTGTTTCTGTCTTTTGCATACAGGTCTCCAATGAAGGGTATTGCCAGTATTAACAGCACAAATGAAGGTTAACTCTAGACTAGGAACTGCTGTTCGGGTGGGGAAACAGGAATCTGAACTTTTTTTTAAAATCTATTATATGTACATGTATTATATATATGAAATTATCTATTATACATTAAGACAATTTGCTGCTGTAATGCAAAACCATGGTGGATTGGAGGTGCTATTGAGTCTTTTCCAATGTGAAGGAGGTCCTTCTGTTTAATTCAAAGTCCTACACAAGCTCAACTGGGGAGGAGGGAGTCTTTGCCTCTGCCAGCCCCTCCCATCTTCAGAAACTATGTGCCTTTCAAAACAAGTTCCTTCATGTGTTGGATACTACAGTATCTGTCCATGAATGAGGAGGGATCTCTGAAGCCTTCTTTTTTGACCTGGCCTTTAAAAAAAAAAAATCCTATGGCTGAGCAAGAATAGCACTGGCCTTTAATCTTTAATCCCCATACCCTGGAAGCAAAGGCAAGCAGATCTCTGAGTTCCAGGCCAGCCTGGTCTATAGAGTAAGTTCCAGAATTGCTGAGGCTATTACAAAGTGAAACCCTGTCCCAAAAAACAAATAAACAAAAATCCTATTGTATTTCTAATGGAATTTTCACGAGTTTTGTAATTTTGTAACTATCCAAGCTCCACTTCTTAAACTTTCAGTACTTTTAATAAAAATTTTAAACTGAAGGCATTATTTAGGTGTTGTTAGTAGACGTTCTACCCAATGCACACCCAGCCATCTCTGAGATGACACTGACCATCATACCTACAGCATCTCTTGGGTTCTGAAGCTTAGCTCTCTGCTGACTGTGACTTCCTGGCTTTTCCTTCGTCTCTTCTCACCTCCTGCTGCCCTGTGTAGTGAGATTTGGTGGGATAAAGTATGCTTTTGTCCCTACCCCCTGTAACATATGGATTTCAAGTTTTACTATTGCAATAAAAGTGCTGTATGCTGGCATTAAAAGGAAATGTTGCTCAGCATGGTGGTACTTGAGAAATGGTGATGGGAAGATCAGGAGTTCAAGCACGGCTTCAGCCTCACAGGAAGTTCAGAGCCAACTTGGGCCATATGAAACCCCCAAAAACAAAAATATTCTTTAATGTAAAATTCTGCCAGGCAGTGTTAGTAGACACCTTTAATTCCAGCACTTGGGAGGCGGAAGCAGAAGAAGGCAGATCTGAGTTCGAGGACACCCTGTTGTACAGAGAGGGTACCAGAATAGCCAGGGCTATACTGTCTTGAAAAACAGAAACACACAAAAATGTCTCAACCCAGAGGTGTAGGATGGAGTCTGAGCTGTACTACCTTCAAGCTCCTAGCAGGTACTTCTGGGAACAGGGAAACAGAACCTAACCTTGACATTAAAGTGTAAAACTGTAGCAGCAACAGTATCCCTGATCCAGTGTCTGAGCTCTGAGGCATGATGGTCATAGGGTCAGGCTAGGTTTCCTGGTGAGGAACCTCTCCTCATTTGACTCCTGGTGACAAGTCTTGATAAACAGAAAACATCCCATGTGGTTTTTTTTTTTTTTAAATACAAGTAACAAGATTTATTCCAGACATAGTAAAACATCCAAGGATACATTCACATGTGACCAAGGAACCCACTCTCACCTCCCTCCCCAAATGACAGTGGGGTAGGTACTCAACACTCCTGAGACAAGCGTCTGTGCTTTTTCTCCATTTCTGGGAGAGACACTGGAGGTCTAATCTGAACCTCAAGTGACACCTGGTGTAGGAATCCAGCTCTGCCTTCTACTCCTGCCCCCAGAGCTGCAGAAACACAGCAAAGCCAGGGGCAAAAAGGGGAGAGTATGAGACACCAAACTCCCAGAACTGAGCTCTCAGCTTCTTCAAAGAAGTCTTTACTCCCAGCAGGGGCTTCAGGGGCTTCTTCTTGGCCCACCTGAGAAAACTAGCCCCATCTGAGTGCACTCTGCAACCCACCGAGGGAACCCAGCAGTGTGTCTTGGCTCTCTGGCCTATTTTAAGTGTGGGTGGGCTAAAAGAGCCCATAAACTATTCCCTCCTGGAGGGTAGGCTCAGTTCCCATGTTAGGAACAATGTCTACAACTCTTGAAATTTATAAAACAAGTTTTCAGCTATATTTTAAAAAAATCAACAAGACTCTAACTCCAAAAAGAGGTCTTTAGAACAACCTAAGCAGTTTGTTTAAATTATTTATACTAGTTTTTAACAAGGAGGCTAAAAAAGGAAGGGAAGTAGAGGGTAATACTTCCCGGAACTCTCCACATACCTCTGTGGCCCCATTCAACTGTGGGAAGACGTGTGAAATGCTAGGGTGGGCCCTGGAACTGGTCCCCAGTTCCTGTGGTGTGACAGTGCACCAGAAAGGAGAAAAACAAGGACCTGAAAGGCTAAAGAAACAGTAAACCCAGTAGCAGGGCCAAGATGGCAGAGGCTGGGGCACAGATCTCTCCTGTGTCTCAGACTAGCCTTTGTGCTTAGCCAAGGGGGGCAAAGAAGAAACAATTTTCCCCAGGAAGAAGTCAGCCTAACTTTGTAGTGTCTCTGCGGGGGTCTCACGCCACCCCCCTCCACCCCCAGACGGTGAGGGGCTGGCAACCTTAAAGCAGGCCATTGGGCCTTCCATTCTCTGGAGCCAGCCCGCCCCGCTCCCGCTGGTGAATTTTCTGGTGCTGCAGCAAGTGCTGCTTCTGGACAAAGCTCTTCTCACACTCGGGGCAGCTGTAGGGCCGCTCGCCAGTGTGGATGCGCTGGTGCCGCACCAGGTCAGACGGGTGACTGAAACTCTTGCCACAGTACCCACAGATGAGAGAACTCCGACTTTTCCTCCACGGGATGTGGCCAGGCAGAGCGACTAAGCTGTTAGGTGAGAATCTCTCCTGGATATGAGGGCTGGCGCTGGGGCCCTCCTGCTGGTGGCAGCGCTGGTGGGTGGCCAGGCTGACCTTGCAGCTGAAGCTCCTGTGGCACACATCACACTGATGCAGCTTTGACTTTTTGGCCTGTGGTTTCAGTCGTGGCCTGGGCCTGAGGCTCTCCTCTGGTTCTGTGGCCGAGTAAGACTCTCTGCCCACGTGGCTCTGCATATGTGTAGTCAGCTGCTGCTTGTAGCGGAAGCTGATCTGGCATTCAGAACACTTGTATGGGCTGCTGTCCCTTTTCACCTTCAGGCTCTGTCCACACTCCTGACTCAATTGTACCTGCCTCTGAGTCTTCTGTTTTCGGGGGCAGTCCAATTTTCTACCAGGGGCAGAGTTTCTACTGCCCTCAACAGACTCAGGGTTAGAGTCCCCAGGGCCTGATTCCAAGAGGGCAGAATCTCCTGGACTATTCCAGAACACAGCCTGCTCCACGCCAAAGAAAGCCTGCTGCTCAGCAGCACTGGAAAACATGCTGGGCAGACCTGCAGGGTCCTCCTGCTTGTACAGCACCTCCTGTTTAACCATGGCCCTATCTGCTGCAAGGAAAAAGACCAACAAAAGATTATATTCCAGTACTTTTGGTGTGTCCAAAACCAAATGCTTGGGGACTTCAGGAAGACTCAAAACAAAGCTTCTTAGGATGATTGAATTAGGACAATATGGAGGAGGATCTCAGCATCTTACTCTTAGACAACAATGTTATTATAGTTCTCCAAACTTATCTATAAGCTGGTGCTTAAGCTCTATGAAAAATGACAAAATACACTGTAACCACTTGGTTCAAAAGTGTTAAAATAACAAATTTGAAGCTGGGCCTGGTGATACAGGCCTTTACATAACCTCAGCTACTCAGAAAGATGAGTCAAGAGAGTCACAAGTTAACAGATTGCTTAGGCTGCAGGGCAAGTTCAAGACCAGTGTGGGCAACTAAGTGAGACCCTATCTAAATTTAGTTTTGTTTTGTTTTTTGAAAACATGGTTTCTCAGTGTAACAACTCTGGCTGTCCTGGAACTCGCTCTGTAGACCAGGCTGACCTCAAACTCCCTACATCAAAATTTTAAAAAGATTTTTTAAAAAGGGGCTGAAGATAAAGCCTAGCCGCAGATGCTTGCCTAGCATGTGTAAGGCCCTGCGTTTAACATTAAACTAATAGTTTGAAAACCACACAACTAGGAGCACGAGGAATGACTTAGTGGTTAAGAGCAGCAGCTGTTCCTACAGAGGACTCAAGTCTAATTCCCAGTACCCACATGGTGGCCACAACCATCAGTAACTCCAGTTTCAAGAGATTTGATACCTTCTACACGTCAAGCATGAAGTACACAGGCAAACAGAAAAAACACTATGCACATAAACTAGTAAAATAATATTATTTTGTTCTTCCTAGATGTTCTGTTTAAACACCTCTCCTCATTTCTTTTTCCCTTGGTCCTGTGACTTGTTGCCCACCCTCCACCGCTCACTCTGACCACAGCCTACTATGTATATTACTTATAGGGCATGAAAAAGCATGCTACACAGTCTGCAATATACTCCAAAGACTGACAGGGGTTAAGAACCATCTAGAACAGTTCTAGTTAAAGTATGGTGGCTCACACCGTAATCCTACTCAAGAGGTAGAATCAGGAGGATCATGAGTTCAAAGCCAGCCTGAGCTACATAGTAAGTCCAGGCTATCGTGGACTACGTATTAAGACTTGCCTCAAAAACAGACAGAGGCCAGAGAGATGGCCTGCTGAACAAGAGCACTTGTTCCCAACACCCACACCGGGTGGCTCCCAATCATCTCTAACTCCAGCTCAGGGAGGTCCTACCCCATCTTCTGCGCTCCGTGGATACCACACACACATCATTACAGTCTCACACACACGCATATATATAAATAAAAATGAAAAAAAAATAAAAATGAAAAAAACCTTTAAAAACAAATAAGCTGGGTGCTGGAAGCTCCTAGGATCAGGAAGGCAGATGCAGGTAAATCTCTGAGTTTGAGGCCAGCCTGGTCTACAAAGGAGTTCCAGGACAGCCAGGGCTACACAGAGAAACCCTACCAAAATAAATTAATTAATTAATAATAAAATAAAATAAGAAACACAACAAAAACAACAAAACCAAGTCCACAACCTGCACATACCAGATGAAATTATAAGTACTATTTGGCAGTTCAGCTGTGGGCATGCTCCCTATAAGCTATCGGAACCTGAAGGGTAGGGACAGAGAAAGAAGACAGACGAACACTCTAGAACTACTCACCCAGGTGGGTACCTTCTTCTACCAAGTCACCCACCATCTCTGCACCTAATTCCACTTCTTCTTCTGGCTGGCCAAGGACCTCTGGGTTGGAAAAGATACAGTGTGAGTCCACCAGAGTAAAACTTGCAGCACGCTGGTCAGACGCCACTGAACAAACGACCAATGCTAGGGAATCAATACTAACAGTTAAAAAGACCCAGATAAGGCTACTGCCATTTCTCCTCTGGCCAATGGAAATTTCAAGATGTCATTATTCTTAATGACTGGGTAATACCAGTCCGTTGTGTAAATGTACCACACTTTCTTTATCCATTCTTTAGTTGAGGAACATCTTGATTGTTTCTAGTTTCTGGCTATTATGAATAAAGCTGCTATGAACAGAGCTGTGCAAGTGTCCTTGTGGTATGATGGAGCATCCTTTGGGTATAGGCCCATGAGTAGTACAGCTGGGGCTTGAGGTAGATCAATTCCCAATTTTCTGAGAAACCGCCATATTGATTTCCAAAGTAGCTAAGTTTGCACTCCTACCAGCAATGGAGGCATGTTCTCCTTGCTTTGCATCCTTGCCAAAGTTCTGCTGTTCCTTCATTAGGGTGACTAGCTCATGTGCCAGTGTCCACATAGCACCATCACCTCTGCCCATACAGCTCAAGTTTTTCCAAGGATTCCTTCCACAGTGCCTAATTTCATCCCCCTGGCCTCCTTGCTGAGGCAATTCCAGGTAAGGCAGGCTCTGGGGCACAGGAAAACAGCCTCAAGAGAGTATATAACCCATTTGGGGTAACATGGTCACCTCTTTGACCCACTTTGACTTTTCTCACCCTCATGAATCTGGTCCAGTCAGTGGCCTCCTTGGTATTTCTCCAAGGACCCACATTTAAAAAGCATCTATCTAACAAGAAAAGAATACATTTGTTATACAGCATGTATTAGTAACATTTTATACAAAACACTTCCCGTCTACCAAACAAACACGGAGACCGCAGTGGCTGGTAATGATGCTGGCTAATTAATTGCCAAGAAAATGGGTTTTGTCAACCTATACTGCATATCTCAATACAAGTGGAGACCAGAAAGAAACCTGTGGGATTTAACTGTGTAAAGATGTGCTACATTTGTTTAGCTATGTAAAGATGTTGGAGGAGGACACTTGTTGGTTCCTGGCTGCTCAGCCCCAAAATAATCACACAGAAACTGTATTATTTAAATCACTGCTTGGCCCATTAGCTCTAGCTTCTTATTTGCTAACTCTTACGTCTTAATTTAACCCATCTCCATTAATCTGTGCATCACCATGAAGTTGTGGCCTTCAGCACATCTGTCTCTTGTGACTCCATGGTTTTTCTCTAACCCTGCCCTTCTTTCTCCCAGCATTCAATTTAGTTTTCCCCACCAACTTCTGTTCTACCCTATCAGGCCAAGCCAGTTTCTTTATTAAGCAATATTTACAGCATTCAGAGGGCAATCCCACATCACCTCCCCCTTCATAAAGATGTGTTAGATTTGACTATGCTGCATTTGTTTAATTATGTAAAGATGTGCTGCTGTTTCACCTTGCCTGCCTAAGGCACCTGACTGGTCTAATAAAAAGCTGAATGGCCAATAGAAAGGCAGGAGAGAGATAGGTGGGGTTGGTGGGCAGACAGAATAAGTAGGAGGAAGAATCTAGGCTCAGCTCAAGAGAACAAAGAGAGAGGAGGAGAGGAGAGAGGGAAGAAGAGAGGACGGATGCCCAGGACAAGTTAGGCAGCTGCCAACCAGATATGGAAAAAGCAGTGAAAGCAGGCCATACAGAAAGAAGGTAAAAGCCTTGAGGCAAAACACAGATGAAAACACAAGTTAAATTAAGTTGTAAGAGCTAGTGGGATGCCGGACAGTGGTGGTACACAACTTAATCCCAGCACTCGGGAGGCAGAGGCAGGCGGATCTCTGTGAGTTTGAGGCCAGCCTGGTCTAGAAGAGCTAGTTCCAGGACAGGCTCTAAAGCTACAGAGAAACCCTTGGAGGGGAGGGGGAAGAGCTAGTGGGACAAGCATAAGATAAGGACAAGCATTCAAAATTGCTAGTAAATTTCTGTGTCATGATTTGGGAGTTGGTTGGTGGTCCAAAGAAAATCTGTTACAGCCGCTTTAAGGTGTCAGTTGTCTCCTTCCATCGTGGAATTGAATGCAGGTTACCAGGCTTTATAGCAAGCACTTCTAGCCACCTCAGCAAGACCAGCCTGATCTCCAGAATGAGTTCCAGGACAGCCAGAGCTACATAGAGGGTTTTTTTTTCTCTCTCAAATAAATAAATAAACAAACAAAAAGTTTATTATATTTGTGGTGGTTTGAAGAATGGCCCCATAGAGTCATATGCTTGAAAACTTTGTTGCCAATTGGTGGAACTTGTTTGGTAAAAGTTGGGTGTAGTCTTGTTAGAGGAGGCAAGTTGGTGGGGGGAAGAGGGGACAGGGCTTTAAGGTTTCAAAAGACTGAAGCCAGCTTGAGTTAGTTTTCCCTACATCTTGCTTGCAATTCAAGGTAGGAGCTCTCAGGGCTGTTTCAGTTGCTTGCTACCTCTTATCTCTGCTTGGCCATCAAAGACTCGAACTAACCCTCTGAAACCATAAGCCCCAAATAAACTTTTTTCCTACAAGTTGCCTTGGTCAGTGTCTTACACAGAAACAGAAAAGTAACTAATACTTCATAGCTATGTAGAAAATACCTATATTATACTTCAGCAATAATATCATCATAAATAACTTCAAGAAGCAATTGGGTTACCACATAGAAGAAATAAAAAAGGCTCAACCCAGAGATCTTCTCAAGTCTCTGCAGGTGAGAGGACCTAGAAACTCGTTCCTCCTCCCAGCACAGGAGCAGAGGGCAAGAGCCAGGCAGAGTCCTGGGTGCAATTAGAAGGGCTCTGAGAGAATTCAGGGAGAAAACTGCCACTCACTCAGAGAGACCAGAGTCTCATAGTTGCTCTCCATGACATTCCTGTAGAGCTCCTTCTGCCAGTCCTCCAGGTTCTCCCACTCCTGTTCCGAGAAACAGACCTCATCATTCTCAAGGGATTCGGACACCTGCAATCGAAAGCCACAAGAAATAAGCACTTTAACTCATATCATGAGTGCGAGCCAGTGCCTTAACATCTTGACTAATCTAGGGCTGAGCTCCCCTTCTTTCCTAACTTTTAAACTTAGAGATTCTACCTTGGGGGTCTCCCCTTTGCTGCCTGGGGGAAGCCGCAGGACCCAGAAGTTCCTGTTGCGCAGCAGGTTCTCCACATTCTCCAGCCGCCGCTGCAGCAGCCCGTACTCCTGCAGCAGGGTTCCCAGCACGGCCCACTTGCCCTCCAGCTGGTTGCTGAACTCTACAGCTGTCTTCTCAAAGTCAGCCAGCTTCTTCTCGGCTGTCCCTGCTCGTCCCTCAAGACTCTGTAGCCGGGCAGCCTGGGATTCCATCTTCTTCTCCACAGCCTGAATAGCGGCCACCACTGTCCAAAGTGAGATTTCTGTGGTCTGAAAATAGGGGTTTTTCTCTGTTGTTTGTGAAGGTTGTGTGGTGGGAGCTAACGGTGTGGAACGGCGTTTCCTCCTGTGCTGTAGGATTGAGGATATGAGGCCAGTGAGACAAGGTCACTTCCAAATATCAAATAAAGAAAGCAAGACCAAGACCAGACTCCTAGCTAGCTTCCTTAAAACAAACAAATCCAAACATACTTTTTATTCTGATACTGTGCTGGCTAGTTTTATATGAACTTGACATAAGCTGGAGTCACTGGAGAGGGGGGAGCCTATATTGAGAAAACACCTAAGTAAGATCAGGGTGCAGGAAGCCTGTAGGGTATTTTCCTAATTAGTGACTGGTATAGAAAGGCCCAGTCCACTGTAGGTGGGGCCACCCCTGGGCAGGTGATCCTGGGTTCTATAAGAAAGCAGGCTGAACAAGCCATGGAGAGCAGGCCAGGGAGTGAGCAGCACCCCTCCATGGGCTCTGCTTCAATTTCCGCCTCCAGGTTCCTGCCCTGACTTCCTTCAGTGACGAACATTGTTATGGAAGTATAAGCCAAATAAGCCCTATTCCTCCCCAACATGCTTTTTGGTTAAGGTGTTTCATCACAGCAATAGAAATCTTAAGATACTGAAAATTTCATGTGGTGCCGGGTATGCAGCTCTGTTGCTATCATGCTCACCTAGCACGCACAAAGCCCTGACCTCGATCTGAAGCACCACCACATAAACCAGATTGTATGCCTGTAATCCCTGTACTTGAAAAGGAGGCAGCAGAGTTAAAAATTCAAGGTTATCCACTACACAGCAAGTTCAAGGCCAGCATAGGCTACAAGAAGCCCAGTCTCTCAAACATAAAAATTATAACAAAAAGAAGGGAAGAAAGAAAAAGTTACATATATTGCATATCTACATATAATTTTGAAAAATATCAGAAAAATAGATAAAATATCATCATAAAGTTAAGCTTTTCCCTCAAATTGTCCTCTGCCCTCCACACTCATGTGTGCACACGTATCCAGACACACACATACACACAGTAAATAAATAAGTGTAAAGAACAATTTTTAAAGCCATTGTTGGGCTGGTGAGATTGCTCAGCAGTAAAGGCCAAAAGTTTGGTCTCTGGGATCCACATGGTGAAAGCACAGAACTGACTCCCGGAGCCGGCATCTGACAACCAACCACACGGTGAAATGGCACACTCACCTACCCACGAAATAAACAAACAGAAACAGGCCAGGCCTGTTGGCACATGCCTTTAATCACAGCACAGGGGGATCTTCGTGAGTTTAAGTCTATCCTGGTCTACATAGTGAGTCCCAAGTCAGCCAGTAAGACTCACAAAATACTCAGTACTGGGGCTGGAGAGATGGCTCAGCGGTTAAGAGCACTGCCTGCTCTTCCAAAGGTCCTGAGTTCAATTCCCAGCAACCACATGGTGGCTCACAACCATCTGTAATGAGATCTGGTGCCCTCTTCTGGCCTGCAGGCAGACACACAGACAGAATACTGTATAAAAAAATAAAAAAAAATATTCAGTACTAGGCTGGGCAGTGGTGGCGTCCGCCTTTACTCCCAGCGCTCTTTTCCCTTTCAGTCTGTTCCTGCCATCTTTTGTTCACTTCTATGGGTTAATTTTTCTGTCACTTTATCAGTATTGTGACCTTATTAATTCTAGCTGCACAGTAATTATTGGCACGTACTAAGACAAATCCCATCTCTATTTCACAGTAGTATCTTGGCTTCTTTTGGCATTGATATTCTACAAACACCAAGAGTTTCACAAAGGTCTTCAGAGACTGTGTTTGGAAATGTATCAAATTCTACAGAAAAGTTTGAGAAACAACATATTTAGGAAAAAAATGTTTGATTCATACACAGAATATTTTACTGCATTTGAAGGAATTTTTAGCATGTTCAATATTTTAACATATTCCCTAACTTTCTATTACAGACAACTCTTGCTATGCATCAACCCATCCCAAAATTTAGTGACTTAAAGACACATCTACTTTGCTCACAAATCTGAAATCAAAGCAGAGAAAGCCTCATGTCTATGCTCCCTCTCTGTGAGTGGGGCAGTCACAGGCAAGCAGATACATGAAGAATCCTAAATACATGCAGAGGTGGATGGATCCAACTCTTCAACAGCCCCCCAACTCAAAGTCTAAGACCACATCTAACCCTAAGTCAGACTTGGGTGAACATACTTCCAGTTCTAATAGGTGTCTTTTCCTTTGTATTTTTTATTTTATGAATGTTCGGTCTACATGTACATATGGGCATCACATATGTGGCTGGACCAGTGAAGGAAAGAAGAGAACATTATTAGATCCTCTAGAACTGGAGTTTCTGATGGTTTTGAGTCACCATATAGGTGCTGGGAACTGAACTCCGCAAGAGTAACAAGTGCTCTAGACCATGGAGCCATCTTTCCAGGCCCTCCCTCCCTTCCTTATTTTATCTATACTGTATCATTATACAAAGATATTACATGCTGGTGGAAAATGGATAAAATAGCACGGCAATGGTGGTGCACACCTTTAATCCCAGCACTTGGAGACAGAGCAGGCAGATCCCTGTGAGTTTGAAGCCAGCCTGGCCTACAGAGTGAGTTCCAGAACAGTCACGGCTACACCAAAACAAAACCAAAAAAAAAAAAAAAAAACTGTCTTGAATAATAAATAAGTAAATAAATATAAATAAAATCAAAATTAAATAAATATTAATAATGATTTGAACATATGCCTTTCCCCAGTTCTCTACCCTATTCCCATTTGGGGGAAAGTTTCCCCTTTTTTGAGACAAGATCTTCTATATAGCTCTGGCTGGCCTGTTTCTACCTCCCAAATGCTGGGATTAAAGGCATGAGTCATCATGATCAACTAAACTAAAAAAATTGAAAACTCATCTTCTTGGTCATACTAGCTGCACTTCAAGGCTCGACACTGTCCATGTAACCAGACTACGGCAAGAGTGCTGCTGGGTGTGCCACATCCTCACGGCTTCTTTCTGCTAGATAAAATACTAGATTGTATTTGAGTATTCTAAATAATGGTGAATTTTGTCAATTTTCAAATATATCTAAAGCTATGTAATTAGCCTTAAACTAGTTTAAAGATGTCATTTCAAGATAGAAATTTTAATCTTTTTTATTATTAGTGCAGGAGGATTTCCGATCTCTGCAGTGATACACTTCTGTTTCTTTTAATTAGTATTATTAGCAACACTAGTTCTTTTGAGTAGTCAAACTGCTCTCATATCCTTTTATACTTAACTACTTGTATTGACTTACCTTTTGGATTTTTCCAAAATGAAGGTTGACTTTTTCCCATCCTTATAATCTTTGCTTCTTAATTCAGTTATATTTATTGTAACTGACTTTTTTTAGTTTTAGCAATTATGAAAAGTATATTTACAAAGATCACTGATTTCTGATCTCTTCTTCCTCAGTTCTACATCAATGCTGTCGTGTAGTTTAATTATTTGTCATTAATTGCTCAATAAGTTACTGTCTTATTCAGTCAGGCACTTAATCCGAGCATTTGAGAGGCAAAGCCAAGGGGATCTCTGTGAGTTCAAATTCCTAGAGAGACACAGCGACCTACGTTGTGAAACCCTGACCAAAAAGAAAGTTTACTCTTTGCCCCAGTGTTGCCCTCAAGTCCCATCTTTAGTTTTTTTCCCCAAAGTCTCTTGATTTCATAAATTTTATCAAATACAATTGTTCAGCAAATGCTCTCAAAACTGGCTTCACAACTCTGTTCATATTTTAAGAGCTCATGCTTTCTACTTTTGGGTTATAAATTATACTATGCTTTTCTTAAATTATCACATAAAATGATGGGTTTATGATTTATTATAAATTTCAAATATCATTTACATAGGGTTTTCTTCCTTAGTATTTTTATTTTCAGTTGTTATTATCAGGACATGAATTTGGCTTAGCAGTAGAGAATCCTCACCTGAAGAGAGATGTCTGAGAATACAAACATGTTCAAGAACAGTTTAAATAAACTCTACAATGTCAAAACTGTAAGTTCAAGTCTAGCTGGGATTTTGGTGGACCTTTATTGCTTTGTCTCAAAGAGGTCTGCTGGTGAGGCACAACTAGGAGTGGGATGCCGAGAGGTGGAGTCTACAGGCCTCCCACTCCATGCCAGTGCTCATCTCGTCTACAGAAAAACCCTTTCAAGACGGCCTCTGTGTCTTAAAGGAGCCAGATGCAGATGCTGCCAACACTAGTTTCCCAGGTCAGCGTTAACTCCTTGAAAGTAAACCCTGATAAATCTTTCAGTGCACTCCAAAGTAGTTCTTACCCATTTTCTAGACAAACCACAGCCAATTCTAGGCAAGGCAAAGTTTTCAACACAAATTTCCTTTGTTTTTTCTTTCACAAAGAGATATCTCAGGATCCCAAAGTTTCTGAACCCAAAATGCTGCAGTAAAACTCAATTCAAAACCAAAGGAGCACAAGGGTGATCCTCCTGACACTATCTAGGAGTCTGGGGATGAGACAGCCTAGGGGTCTGGACCGGGTTTGTCTTCTCTGCCAGTTAGAGAACTAAAACCAAGAAAAATCTTAAGCTCCACAAGTAGCATCAGAAAAATTTCAAACGCTACTGACAGAATCCGCAGTTGAAGAAAAGTATTGATTGGGGGGACAAAGAAACGTGTACAACAGACACCCAGAGAAAAGGACCATCAGCAAAGCAGAGGGGACCCAGGAAACTGTTTTTGTTTGTTTGTTTGTTTTTGAGGCTGGAGCTTTTAAAGCCTCTCAAGTTTTCCTCCTCTAACTTAGGGTCGTTCCATTTGAAGATGGTTGATTGGCCCAGAACTGTTGAGCAGTCCATCAGAAGCGATGGGAGACAAATCCTATAAAGCCTTTGATTTAGGCTTCCAGGCTTATCTCAAGTAGGGAGGGTGAGGAAGATCTTGGAAATTTGCCACCTTTAATTATCTAACCATGGCTCCCTCTCCCTGTTTGCCTCGCAGGGAGTCTGTCTAACTAGCACTAGGGTTGCAGAGGCAATTCAAAGCTAGCGTGGTCTACATAGCTAGTCCCAGGCAGCCGGGACTACAGGTCAAGACCTTATTTTGAAAGATTAAAAATAAATTAGACAAGAAAAAGGCTTGTGCTTGTAATCGCTGCACTTGGGAGTCAGAGGTGAGAGTTTAAGGTCATCTCGGATAGGCTAGGCTGAGGCGCACGTGACTGTGACCCAAAACACAACCACCACCAATCAAAAGCGAGCATAATGGCTCACACCTGTAATCCTACCACTGGGGAGACCGAGTAGGAAAGACTGTCACCAGCTCCAGATCAGCCTGTACTACAGAGTGAGGCTCTGTCTCAACAACAAAAAGCCAGTTAGGTTCCGTTTATCCTGCCCTTTTCCTAAGTTAACCGCTACTGTGTCAAAGTATAAGAAGACCGGAGCCATAAAAAAAAAATTAGAAATTTCTTTAACAACGAAGCCAACATTATCAATTCAAGTTAAGGAGACAAAGGCCTAGAGAGATGAGCACAGGCTGCCGAAGGAGGTGAGCGCTGAGATATTCCTCAAACCAATTTTCAGTGTCTTCCCATTCCCTGAATTGCTGGAAGAGGGGGAAAGCAGATAATACTGCGCACCTACAGCTCTGTAAGTACACCTGTCCCCAAGGAGAGGTGGCCCCGCCTGGTTTCAACCTGTAGCTGCAAACTCAGTACAGAAATGTACGACAGAACATAGCATCCGGACCAAACCCACTGGTCGGAGAGAAGCCCTAAGTCCCGGAGTCTCCCGCAGCTGAGCTCAAAGGCAACGAGCGGTTTTAAACCGCGCCATCACTCCAACTCAGAAAACGAGTCCCTAGTTGGCACGAAGCAGGGAAATATGTGGGCGCAATCAGAAACAATTCAACAAGCTTCGCAGAAGTTTCTATGGGAAGACGCAGAGGGCCAAGGCTCCGAGCCCTGCGCAGAAAGCTTCGAGGGAGCGAGCAGGCGGAGGCTGAGGGTCTTCGGGAGGGAGGGCGGCAGCCGCCGGCGCCAACGGCCGCGGAGGGAACCAAGCCCGCGACCGAGCTCCGCAAGCCCCGCCCCTGCCAGGGCGCTGTCTCCCCCGGCGCCCTCGCCGCCCGGCCGGCGCGCCTTACCCGAGCAGGCGCCGACTCCGCCATGGTCGCAGTCGCCCCACAATACCGACTGGCGGGAGAGTGCTCCGGCTGTGTGCCACTCCGCCAAATGCCCGGACTTCGGGAAGCCGCCGCCGCCGCCGCCGCCGCCCCCGCCGTGTTGATACAAGATGCATTCTGGGAACGTCCCCCCCGCCTCCCCGAGCCAAGAAGAGCTGCAGCCGCTGCTCCGGCCGCGCGCTGTTTCTATTGCGCCACCGTGCGCCGGGAAGGTGAACAGCAGCAGCTCGGAACCCCAGTCTTTTGAGTCCGCGAAATACTTTAAGAGATTCAGATATGTGAAAGTTAAAAAAAAAATACGTGGGAAGGACAGGGACTAGTAGAAAGGGTAATGGGGTGGGGGTGGATGCGATTGCAATACGTTCTGTACATGAACGTAATTGTCAAAAATAAAAATAATTTTTTATAAAAATAATTTTTAAATGAGTAAATTCCACACTTTTCTCTGAGGGAAGAACTTGAAGAAAAGGTGTTCTCAAAGGTAAGTGATTTCATCCCAAACACTCACAGGTTACTTGGCTTTTTAGAAATTAGAAGCATGGGTGTGGAGAGACAGCTCAGAGGTAAAGAGCGCCGGCTGCTCTTTCTGAGGTCCTGCGTTTAGTTCCCAGCGACCACGTGGTGGCTCACAGCCGTCTGTTATGAGATCTGCTGCCCTCTTCTGGCATACATATTATACATTTTTTTTTTACAAAAAAAAGGGGGGGGGGGAACTAGAGGTAATCAGGTGTGTTGCAGAATTCAAGGTAGCCTTAATCACAAATAATTAACCTAGTTCTCACACCATGCGAGTGTTAGAGACAGCATGTTGTGCATTCTGGCTTGGAAACATCTGGCCGAATTATCATCACTCTAGATTTTTTGAGGCCAACCTCAGCTATATAGTGAGTTTCAGAAATACCAAAAGAGACATTGACTCCAAACAAATCCCCCAAGATCTGGCCGAATTAACCGCAGAACTCCGCCAGACATAAGTCATTGTCCCAAGCATGTAGTCAATTTGAATCCCAGAAGCAGCAGAATGTTGAAGGATAAGGGCAGTTGTCCATAAGTGTGAAGCAGAAGTAACCATCTTGTAGGAGCCGGACGGAGCCTCTCAAGCAATTCAATGGCAGCAGTAAGGACTTCTTCCTACCACTTTGCAGAACCAGAACTGGGACAGCAATACTAGAGCATATATTGACCAGGACTGCTTAATTATGCATGCCTTCTTGCCCTTTGTTCTGATTCTATATAATCCAAAACATCTCAAAAATAGATTTAAGATCTCTGGACCCCTAATTCTCTTCTCTGCTTTTCACCTTATCTCTTTAAAAATCTACTTATTTGTGTGTGTGTGTGTGTGTGTGTGTGTGTGTGTGTGTGTTACATACCTTTAACCTCAACACTTGGGAGGCAGAGGCAGGTGGATCTCTGTGAGTTCCAGACCAGCCATAGCTACATAGTGAAACCCAGCCTCAAATATTTAATTATTTTTTTTAAGGCACAAAGCCTGGAGAGCTACCTGGTTCAGTTCCCCAGAACCCACATGGTGGCTCACAGCCACCTGTAACTCCTGTTCTTGGGATCTGACACCCTCTCGTGGCCTCCGAGGGCTTCTACATACATGTGGCACACATATACTCATGCAGGCACACAAATATACACATAAAAATAAGTAACTATTTAGATGGTGTGGTGTGTGCTCCCTCTGTACTTGCTACCTTTATCTTCCCACTGAGAATGTGAAGCAATCCATGTAAAGTGTTGGTGGACGCTGTATGCCTGGCATGGAGCAAGCGCTCAGTAACAAAATTTCTGGCTTCTGTTTTGCTTCTGTATTTGCAAGTTAGAGTGTGAGGGCTACACGCAGAGCCAAGAGTGATGCTGACATTATCTATAACAGAAAAATCTTTGCAACACAAACAAAAATTCATTTTCTTTTTCTGAAGAATAGTTTATTGACTATACTGCAAGAGGGCAGCCACTGGGCAGTAACTATGATAATCTACAATCACAAATAGCACTTTGGTTGTGGTAGTGTTGGTGGCCTTGAACTCCTAATCCTACCGCTTCAGTCTCTTGAGGGTCGGGATCACAGGTATGTACCATAAAATAATTCAATTTTAAGTTTAAAACGATGTTTTAAAAAATATCTCTAGCCCATAAATTTTCTATTTTGTGTATGGTTTGTACCATATATACAATATACATAACACATATATGTAAGCATATGTATGTAGCTATACCTATGCCTAGACTTTTTTTTCTTTAATTTTGAGACAGCATCTCTCTACCTAGCCCTGGCTATCCTGTAGACTAGGCTGGCCTTGAATTTACAGAGATCCACCTCCTTTTTCCTCCTGAGTGTTTGGATTAAAGATGTACATCACCATTCCCAGCATAGCCTTTGAGCGGGGGGTGGGGGGGGTGGGGGGTGTTTCAAGGTATCGTTCCTTGTAGCCTTGGCTGTCCTGGAACTCGCTCTATAGACCAGGCTGGCCTTAAACTCAGAGTTCTGCCTGCCTCTGCCTCCTGAGTGCTGGGACTGAAGGCATGCATCACCACTGCCCAGCCTACATTTTTTTTTAAACCTGTCCCGTTCAGTCACCCCTGCTAGCTTGCTAGTCTCCACAGAACAAGGACCATGCTTTTCCAGGTCAGTAAAAATATTAGACTGAACATACCTTGGCTCAAGGTACCTCCATTGCTGTGTGCCTATGTGTATGCTGGGGAACCTGTTTCCATCACCAGCCCGGCATGGCTCTCTTCCCCTGGCACAGGATTTCCCGCCCTGTAGGAACGACTCCTCGCAGGTGTTGCTTGCTGCTGTTGTTTTCCTTTATTTCTTTTCCCAACCCCAGAACTGAGGATCATTCACATCTTTTAAAAGTGTCCCCCTCCCCCATGAGCTATATCCCAGCTTTTTTTCCCTTTCGTTGTTTTAGATTTTTGAGACAGGGTTTTTCTGTAGCCCTGGCTACTCCCTCCAGAGTCCTAGGATTAAAGGCCTGAGCCACCACGGCTGCTCCTCCTCCTCCTCCTCCTCCTCGTCCTCCTCCTCCTCCTCCTTCTTCTTCTTTTTTGAAACATATTATCACTATATTGCCCAAGCTGGCCTTGAACTCAATCTTTAGTGCTGACCGGCCTCAATGGCCTTAGGATGGCCTTGAATTTCGGATTCTTCTCTGTCAGTCTCCAGACGCGGCTGGGATCACAGACTTTGGCCCCCAGGGCAAATCACTAGTGTCCATCTTCTTAGGTCTGGTCAGTGACTAAAGGGCTAGCACTTGGCTTAGCTGGGCCCCATCCTAGCCTCCAGGCAACAGTCATTGAGGCAGGATGGGTTTGTGCCACGAACTGGACCAAGGAAAGCTCTTCCTCTCCAGGGACAAAGTAAAACCACACCAGCTCAGAAAGTCTTAGCTCTCATTTTTTGAGGAAGCTGCTTTGGAGGAGAGACTGAACACAGAGAAGGGAGCAGAGATCAGAGGTGATTTTCTCTGTATCCTAGGTTGGTTCAACTGCACCTCTGAGTCTATGAATGTTGTGGTTTTTTGCTCTTTTGGGGGGCCTGCCACCAAGCTCCCAAATAAATCACACAGAAGCTTTGTCTTATTTATAATCACCTGGCTTTAGCCTTTAGCTTGGCTTGTTTCTTGCCAATTTTTCTTAAATTATCCAGACTACCATTCACCTCTTGGCTTTTTTCTTTTCTTCTGTATACCTTACTTTCGCTCTTACTCCAGGACTAGCTGGGTGGGTGGCCTCCTCCCCTTGTTCTCATTGCTTCTCCTTGTCCTCATCTCTCCTTCTATTTATTCTCTCTACCTGCCAGCCCCACCCATCCTCTCTCCTGCCTCACTATTGGCCGTTCAGCTCTTTATTAGACCATCAGGTGTTTTAGACAGGCAAAGTAACACAGCTTCACAGAGTTAAACAAATGCAACATAAACAAAAGTAACACAGCTTAAAATAATAGTCTACAACAGTGAATGATTCCAGATTCTTTCCAGAAGTTTCTACATTCTGGGGGGGAAGGGTGTCAGCCAGCTTCTGTTGATCATAATTACAAGTATTTGGACTAATAAAAGTATTATGGGGGAACTATGGGGATGGTTCAGCAGTATAGAGCACTGGTTCGCCCGGTGGTGGTGGCGCACGCCTTTAATCCCAGCACTTGGGAGACAGACGGCTGGATCTCTGTGAGTTCGAGGCCAGCCTGGTCTACAAGAGCTAGTTCCAGGACAAAACAAAACAAAACACACACACAAAGAGCACTGGTTCTTCTTCGAGAGGACTGGGACATCCACATGGTTGCTTACAACAGTCACTCTAGTTCCAAGGGACCTACTCTGTTTTGGCTTCTTCTGTGGGCTCCAGGCACATAGTGGTGCACAGACATATATGCAGGTGAAACACCTACACACTCGTATTTTTTTTTAACTAAGGACAATAGGGAGTTGGGGACTCTCCCTGAGCTGAAGTAAACAAACATCTACCCCCTCTTTAGAGAGCACAGACAACAAACCAAAGTAGGGTTCCAGCTTCGGGAACCAATGCCTTTATTGAACTTATTTACAGAGCATGGGGGGTTATTTACAGAGCATGGGGGGTTATTTACAGAGCATGGGGGGTTATTTACAGAATATGGTGGGGGGTTATTTACAGAGCATGGTGGGAGTTATTTACAGGGCATGGGGGGTTATTTACAGAGCATGGGGGGTTATTTACCGAGCATGGTGGGGGTTATTTACAGGGCTATGGGTGACCCTGAAACAGCTGCACCACTGGAAAGTCACACTCCAGCATGGACAACAGGTTCCTTACAGCTGTGTAGATGGAGTCTCCAGTCAGTCAGCCTACACTCTCATGTGCTCTGGTCTTCCCTCCTGAGAAATGAGGCCACATGCAGTTAGAGAAGAACTGCAGTCCAAAGGCTGGGAGGAGCCGGAGAGAGCTGCTGGGATCTCACACCCCTGCTCTTTTTCTATGGGGGAATGGCAATGGCCAACAAGCCAGATCTGGTTTCTCGTAAGCGGTCCCAGCTGCTCTGATGAAGATGATGACTTACGCTTGGGGGAGGAGGCAGTGTTCTACAACACTGGGATGCCAGACACCTTGTCTAATTATTTTTTTAAAGAAGTATT